GCCGGTTCTACTATCCCTTAAGGCCGACTCAAAAAGCGGGCGGTCCCGGCTCTCTCCTGTTACAGGCGCAAAGTGGCACACCGTGTGGTTTTAGTCGGTCAGATTCCGACACACCACCCTGCCGCAAAAACCGGTGGGGTGACGGGCCGAAAACGTTTCCACACGTAAAAAGTTCGCAGTTCCGTCACGCCTGCTGTCTGCCAAGAAGTTAACAGTTCCACTACTGTGTGACCACTACCCACAAGTAAATTTATTTTATTGTGTGAGAATTATTCTTCTTGTAAACAAAGTTTGTTACGTAAATAATATTTTAACCGTTTACTTCTAGAAACACGCCTTTCTAGAAAACTTAGCTCAAGAAGCGCGTTTACATTTTATTACCTTCACTTGTTTTTGTGGTGAAATATTAGTCATTCACAACCTTTTCTTATTTAAAGACCGAGAATTGTAAATGTAAAATATACGAGACTGTATATCTGATATTTTTTGCAGACCGGATATCGTATTTATAATAAAGATTTACGCAGTGAAAATACCTGCAAAATATAGAGCTATTATACAGTGTGACAGAAATAAATGTCCATATTTTAGAAGCACTCTATACACGCCCTATTCGTTTAGGCTTAAATGGGAATTCTTAAGATGTCTATTATCTTTTGAGATCTTTTTTAGTTCAGTTTTATTTCTTAACTAATCATCTGACATGACATTACCAAGGGCATCGCAAACTCATTTAAAGCCTTTTGTCTATTTTTTACTATTACACTTTACAGAGGTAAATAAAACACTTATTATATACATTACTCGAATATTGCATTTAGTAGCAGTAGTAAGTAGGTACATCGTTTTAAATATCTCCTAAGATTTATCCCATGTAAGTCACGTAAATTTATTTTTCGGCGACTCGGTTGCAAAATTTTGTTTGTTTTTTGGTTACATAAAAACTTAATTAGATTGAATTTTATATAATATATAAATACAAATCATTCTTGTAACATTATATAATTAATGATAAAAACAGCATTAAAATCTGTTACGTAATTTATGGGGAGTTAGGGAATATAGAAACAGACATGTAAACTGACGTGTTTATACTTAAGGATCTACTACCGCCACTTCTTTCTACAACATTCGCACAAAGTAACTTAATAATCTTCTCGCTAATGGACGTGAATGATGCCGTTAACAAACTTTACCTAACTTCTATATGTTAGAAAACTTGAGATAACAAAAAAATAAACTTAAATTTTAAATAATGTTTATTTGTTCGTACCAAAATTGTAATATTGTATTCAAATACTTACACACATGTTTTTGTTATAATCAGGAGACTCAGTATACATATGCGCTGAAGTACTGTGCATCTGGTTATTATGAAATTTTTCATACGGGTTGGCATTGATACAGTAAACAACATAGAGTATGTACTCGTATCTTTCTTGAAAAATATAAAATTCGAAAGATATAGAAATAGTCAGTATTCCTTTAAATAGTGTTCTTTTTCGTTCTAACTTTACGATGTTGTCTCCTTCATCGGAACACTATGAAAATTTCCATGCACTTCTTTTATAGAACAAATTAGGGCCCTAATCCAGTAGGGAATTCTTCTTTTGGAGAAATAATATTACTAAATGTTGGAAAAACTACTTTTACCCACACAAAACCGGTTTTGTTTAGATATTCTGATAAACTATCAGAATATATATATGTGCAATTTATAATAAATGAACTTGTAAGGAAACTGCGGAAACAACGCTGAAATGTGTAAATGTAGTTTGAACGGCGCCTTAGGCATTTCACAATGATTTTCCTTAACTTTACCAATAATTTAATTGAAAGCATGTTTATGAAATATCGTAAAAGGTCTGATTGACATATTTAAATTAAAAAAAGAAACTCTTACGATTTGCATGAAAATCTATTTGTGCTTCTTTTACATATTTGTGATATATTTTCTATCTCCCACCTTTCTGAGGCATTTATGATGAGACAGGGGGAGAAATATAATATGATGTAAATATCTGGAAATGGTGAGAATATTCACTAAATCTACCACATAAAAAAAGTGTGCAACTATCTGTCTTCTACCTCCGTAGTTGTTAAAATCCATTAAAAATTAAATTGTGTTACTTAAAATAATTTGGATGTATATGTGATTCTATCCCATGATTGCTGATGACATCACGACAACATGATCAATAAATTAACTGTCCATTAATAAGGTGCGCGGTCCATGGAAAATCACATTTTATGTAGGGCTCATTATGAATATGTCGTAATTATTGCCATGATAGATAGATAATACTTTGAACACCAGGGTTTTACAGACATTATAAAGTATTTAAACGAACAACAGATGTAATGTACAGAAGGCGGCCTTATGGCTTAAAGCATTTTTTTGCATGGACTGGATTCATTTTTAACTGGTGATAGGTATATAGAAGTTCGATTAATAAATAAGGTCCTAACCTATGAAATATTTATCATACATAAATCCTACTAATCTATATTTACACATTAATGCGATACATACATACAGTAATATTTACATAAGTATATACATATACTAATTTCAACGATGAGATACAGATATAATGCTCACACTGCATAGTTTTAAAGGTGATTACGGATTGCGCACGTCTTATCAGATCCAGATTAAATTCCTTGTACACACTACACTACACTTACACTAAAACACCGCCAAATTCAAATACAAAACAACGCTCAAACTCTTGCAACTGCAGTTAAAAATTTATCAATTCCTGATAGCAAATCGAATCATACCTTGATAGAAACATTACATTACATACAGTATGTAATATTGTGCCCATTTTTGGGTAAGAATATCGGACAATGATTTCAATTATTACTCTTATGACTGCTACAGCATCCTTCGTCTAAAAAAAATTAACCTAAATCGGACACAAGATACCTTACAAACTTATTATTTTGGCAAAAAGTTACTACGTTTACATCTGTATTTTTTATTATAATTACAAAGAATAATAAAACATAAAAAAGTCTACCGTATTTAGGAATGTTATAAATAATTAACTTCTGCACCCTCGTTCAAAATTTTTGCCATAAATTTACTAACTTATGTTATGAAGATAAAATCAAAATAAAGAAGCTATGATTATGAATTAAAAGCTAATGTTGTACACAATTCAAGATTCCACCAGCATTGAATTGATGCTCCGAAATTTCACGGAATGGGTGGAAGTTGATATTAATTTGAAATAATATTATGCATGCGTGTATGAGTTTGCTTCTATGCTTTAACTACTCAAACAATCGTCATGAAATTTTGCAAATTGTCTAAAATGAAAAACTGGAATTGGTGAGACAAAGTCTACTTAAACTGCGCGAAACTAACTTAAAACAAATGATATACAAGTAGAGTAAGGTAGATATTAATGGCATGGGAAGCTGTTACTTTTTCTTAAGCAACCGTCATTATAATGAGGATTGTAATTAAATTTGAAAAAGGTATATTTTTTATGCAATACCAAAATTATGGAAGCACGTTATATAGGTTAGCCTTATCTAGTCTGACACTGTACATGTCTTATGTCATAATATAGTAGAGGAATTGTATACAATCTAAAGTTCAGTGACAAAGGATCTTACTCGATTTCAAACTTCAAGTTCAAGGTTTCAAGATCAATAATCTTATAATGTAGTAAATTTCGATAATTCCTCCGTTTTGAAATTACATCCATAACAAACTTGATATAATATAACCACAAGGTTCCTTTTTGTTTAATACTAGCAGTACCTCTCTCATACGAAATATAAAACTTTCATAACAGCATAAAATGTCTTGCTTATGTCAGCACTCATTTGGCTCAGTATATAAGGGTACAATATGTGTCCAGTCGACAGGGGGTGATCGAGACATGGCCGGTCGCTTACACTCAATTCACGGGAGGTAGCTACCCCTACAACGGACTTTATAGATGAACGATTTCTTTGTTAGCTGTAATTTAATTCGCAGTCTAGTGATTTTGATGTCTATGTTATGAATCTTTGAATAGAATAGTTTGAGTTTTAAACAAAAGAGTTTACCTAAAATAACCTTGGATGCTTTTTATAATTTATTAAAGTGTCCGAAAAGGAACACACTTTCCCTGTTTTTGCAACATTTTACGTCAACACTCCGCTCTTATTGGTTATGGCATGATGTAATATATTCTTCCTCGATGAATGGGCTATCCCACACTGAGTTTTTTTTTTTGTATAATTATTAGATAATTATTAGATTATTTATATGCGAACCAGTAGTCCCTGCGATAAGCGCGTTCAACCAAACAAATAATCCCTTCAGCTTTATAATATTTACAATATTAGTAACGATCATAGATTAAGGGTTTGAGTGAGCTTTATCCAATAAAGAAGTTTTATTAAGAATGCATGCGTGTTTTGTTTATAAACAAATGGCAAAATCTAGGTAGTTATTTTATAACAAGTTTTTTTTATTTAATAGAATAAAAATCAGATTCATTCTCACTCACTTTTCTTATTTACGAACAGGAAGTCCACTCACTAAGGTTGTTTATAAGAGTTTTCTTTTATTAACATAAGCGCATATATCTACCTAAAGCCATAATCAGTATTATTGGCATCTGGAGATTTGATTATTTAAATAGATAATATGCTATTATTAAATAATAGCAAACATAATTGTATTAAAAAATTTAAATGATTCATATTCGATAATTTAAAAAATCAAATTATGAAAATATATAGAGGTAGAAGATTGTAACCGCAGGTTATTCAATACAAAATAATGCCTTAAGAATACAAACCACAACAAACAAAAGTTGACCTATTAAACCAAAAATATTAAAGGTATTTACTTCTAGAGCTACGGTATATTTTCATTAAATTAAACATCTAAAATTTACCATTAACCAGTTAAATTTTATCAAAATTAACGAATTGTACTCATTCAATTCAAATCACCACAAAGACGGTAATTCAAACCGTCTACATCGTCACTAAGTTCGTTCACTTACCGTAAACCCAATTCCGACGGTGGCGGAGAAATTGCCGGCTTGGAATTTTCCCGTCTCGAACTGCACTAATAGAGAAGTCTTACCGACTCCGCTGTCTCCGAGTAGAATTGTCTGTGGACAATTTAGACAGTTAAATTTACATTATATCACAATAATAATAATGTATACAATTAAAAGCCTGTGGGAAGTAATTATGTGTGTATTTATTTACTATAGTTACACCACTACAGCGATAAAGAAATGATAGCCGTTAACCCTCGTTTATAATCATACAAAATAATAGCATGAAAAGATTTCCGCGGGACGTCTGTTGTTACAAACAAAAGAGAGACAGATTCGCTTTTTTTTAAACATTTAAAATAGAACTACACATAGGTGGCCAATGATTTTCAGCAAAGAGTTTTGATTGCAATAAGACGGTTAAAAATAGTTAATGTAGCTAATCATTTTCAGTACAACCTGGGTATGTCTGTATAAACAAATACAATATACTATTATACCCACTGGCAAGTTATGTGATTCGTCTAATTTGATAAGAGGTTTAAAACGCATAAATACCTACATACCGTTAGAAAAAACAGCTCTTAAACGTGTTTACACATGTAGTAATATTTTAGTGATGACCGAATGTGGCCCCTCTTTCCCACTGGGCACTCTGGGCACGTGCCCAGGGCCCCTCGATCGATATCCAGTTGCCCTAATTCTCGCCAGATCACCAATCGATAATTGATACTTATTACCGAAATGAATATTTATTTTGAAAAAATCCAGCGATAATGACTGACTATAATAGTCGTTTTGTCTATTCTAACAGAAAAGTAATCAGCCAAGGTCGTAGGGGCCCCATCACCCAAATGTGCCCAGGGTCTCTATCAGGCTACAGACGCCCGTGGACAGAATAGGCTTGTGTCCACTAATAATAAATTGCTTGGTTTATAGTTTCAAATTATAAATGAAGAGACATAGATAAGAAAAAAACAGTCTATTTCTCATAAAAGTTAAAGATAGGTATTAAGTCATTGACAGCGAACACCAATCAGAAAGTGTTACGTCACGCCACGCATGTTTTTTTTTAAATACAAAATACGTAATGTAAATATTGCTTTTTCTTTAAATACAGGTTTTTTGGGATAAAATAGATATTAAATTATATGATTAAGCAAGTTTTCAAATTGAGTCAACTAGCCTATTGACAATAACAAATAAGTTATATTGACAGAATGAACAAAGTCCAATCATTATAAAACTTTTAGGATTGATCTTTTGTCCATGGCTCGAACCGGATTTTGGTTACGTGACTTTTATCATGACCTAAAATTTCAGAGTAAAATTTCATGCAAATCCGATCTGCGGTTAGCTGGTTATTATTAAATTTTATCAGAAATGTTCACATTTACAATAAAAGTATTATTAACAATTTACCTGCTTTCAGATACCTTTATAAAGTATTTAATATAAAACAAGTTAGTTTGAAGGATAAAATGAAGTAGTGTTCATTGTTGGCACGTCGGTAAGTTTTGTTTTCTAAATCTCTTAAGTCCTCGGAGAATAGACAATGTAACAAAGGTTTAAACTAATTAGGCATAGCGAGGAAACATGGCGCGATTTATTCTTAGAAACAGTGGGTAATAAGCTTCTATTGACTTGTTTATTTTCTTGGGGAATATTTAATGTTACTTTCTTTTAGCAATGATTTAAAAGCATTTTGGGGCCTTTTAATCATCCACCATTACATGAGGCAAAACTCCTCCCTCTTAAATCTGGGAAGCGGGGCACTCAAATGCACCTGCAACCAAGTGCATTTAGACATAAGGTAGTGAAGGTCACCCATATGCTCCCTCTACCACAAAAAAAATGACTACATCGACATAAAAAACTGTATTAAAATACAGTGTCAAGATGTTCGAGAAACAAGCTTTTCTAATCTTCGACCCTCCGTTATTAAGCAAAGAACGCTTGGCTGGATGCACAACAAACAATACTTCTTCTTTTTTAAGTACTCCTCTATATTGCTGCTATAACCTTCTTTCATAAAAGTGGCTTAATAACTTTGTTTAAAAAAATACTTAATATTCTCACTTTTGAATTAAGCAACGATTTATAATTTTAGTGAAAAACAAATTAATTTTGATGCTCCCACATGCCGTACCCGACATTCATCATTACTCGCAACCCCATCTGTAACAACCAACTACGTTAAAATGTCACCATTCATCCGTATTCCACATATATAAAATATCGGTTTCTCATCACTGGATCCCTTTAACACTCCCCGCAATTCGTACAAAAATAAAATTATTTACATTTCGTCCCAAGAACAAGAATTGCCACAAAAACATACCATCACACTTTGAACATCCCACACACGCTATACAAACACCATTCACCACATTCACTCACACACACTACTCCACATATAAACTACATTATTGCTATCTGTTTAGCTATATTTGAGATGCACTGTATATTCATACAGAATGTTTACTCTTGCTGTGTATGTACCTTCAATTAATTGTGTACTTCGTAAATGGCGTATTGTTCGACTATTACCATGTAAACTATATACTGTCAGCTGTGAAGAACCTAAGTATTAAATAAATAAAATATCACAGTTCATTAAAATTATAAGTCATTTCGGGATTTATACGCAACTTAACATTTTATAACAGCACCGGCTAAATAATCGAAACCACATTAAAGTTTCAACCCCAAATGTCTTAAAATAATCTAATCTCCTGCTTTCTTTGTGAGGTTTCAGTGTGTATTACAATACTTGATCGGTATAACAGGGCTTGGCAGATTTGATGTGCCGACTTATGTTCGTTTATAATCTTGTTCACTTTTGGAAAGTTTGAAGTAAAATAGTCTGATAACGTAACAATATTCTAATAAATGCTTTTTCTAGAAAATTAGATTAACCTACTTCGAGCCAATAATGTTATTGATCGTACTAGTACCTAGCAAAACTTTTAACTCTGTTTAGCGATTACCGCAGTTTATTGGAGTCCATTTTACGAAGCACAAATTACGTTAGTGAAGCTCGTTTGTCCGACAGTGATACACTAACAAGTTTGCTCGTTACCAACTAAGGGTTTTCATTAAATAAGGGTCGGTCTAGCTAGATTATGTAAAACTGATATTCTGAAGCCAATAAATTATTTATGGTTGCAAATATTTTAGCTCATTGCCAACACAGATATGTACGTTGCTTAGATAATCCTACCGTAAAGATTTAAACTTTGTATTATACTGACTGAACAACTTTTTGAATTATTTTTATGCTGCTAAAATATCCTGTGTCGTGGCAAGTTGTTGTAATGACAGAACTTAAGCTTAGGATAAGGTCTAAACAAAAGCTTTGATTTTATAATCATTTACATTTTTGAATGATGATGAAAAAATAATATAGGTATTATTAACAGATGACCCTAAAAGATTTATTGAGCATTTAGTTGATATCAGTTGGCATATTTTTCAATCTTATAAAACGACAAACATGATATAACGGTATTAGGTAATTATTATTCCATACAACATAATTTAAATACGACATTTTATGCAGACGCGTTATATAAGTATAGATAATGATGACAAAAAACATTTTTTTTTTGACGAAATCTTAAACACTTAGATAATAATATACCTTACACATCTCACACACAGCCGTCTGATCCCAAACAAGGCAGAACCTGTGCTATAGTAATTAGACTGCTGATAAACGTACTTATATGTTTTAAATACATACATATTATAGATAAAATACACCCACACACAATCAAACGTATAGTATAATGTGTAGCATATAATATATACATACATACGGGTAGTCGGACATAGTTTTTGTACACCGTCACACGGTTCAACATTAGAAGATTATTATACCTAATGGATTTTATCCTTTCAAGATTTGTTATTCAAAACTATGTTAGTATTTCGAATAAGTACCGAGTTCAAACAGATTCTGTAGGGATTAAGTACATGTTAATCTCTTGTAATAACTGTTGAAAGCCATCTCTAAGCTGTTTTCAATAGTTCTGAATCGTAATTATGTAACTTACAAGGGGATCAGAGTATTTGATCGAATTACCGCTTAGTCAGATGAATCGATAAACTAAATGAAGCAATTAGTTTAAGGCTGTGGGTTATTTATTATCGCTTACATATGTCCTTCCCATACATATTTCTTTTTAAAGTAAAAGACTATCAATAGTAATTAAATTAATTACCTACTAGCAGTTCCTATTCTTTCACATTTCTTTTTTTGAAAAATTATGATGGCTGGTTTTTATAGCAGCTGGTTTTAGTGATACGATAGATAGACTTTCTTAAACATTTATCTTAACTAAAATTAATAATATGAAATATGTAGGAGTGAGGAAATAACATAAAACTACAAATAATCTGACTTAAGTCCAATGAACAACATCCAACCGGGTTTATGATGACTTCGTTGATGTTGACGACATAGCATGTCACTATCGTAGTCAGTAGTGATGGATTAATTAGCCTTCACACTCATATTTGATTGTGAATTCTTAATTAGCAGTTAGCAAATTAATTGTAGTCGTGAAATTTCTTGAACTTATGAGTTAATACGTACACGAAATTTCGTCGCCTTATTCATTAAATATTAATACAACTGCTTTTGCTAAATGCTGTCTGTTCTCACGTTTAAGTACCTCTTTCGTTTGTAGTTACGTTTTAAGTACCTAGTTCGTTATTTCCGAGTGTGCACGGAAATAGCAGTGTGCAAAGGATTTATTGGGATATTTTAAAAGAAATGCACGTATTTAGGATTGTTAATTGCATAAATATATTTGCAATTTCATTCATTGAATTTTTAATTCCCGAATATTTTATTTTGTTTCTTACGATTTAACATTAGCAAGTGGCCAGGAGATTAGGTATTGTTTTGAATGACTGTTTTCTCGTAGTGTTTTGTTAAATTGTTTAAAGTTGTGTATAGAATTGGTACCTAAATAGTATTTGTTAATAAGAAGTTTAATTATAGAGTAGGTATAGGTGATTTAAGTATTTTGAAGAGTGTGCGACAAAAAATATCCCTATCTATTCATAGGGATATTTTTTTGTAAATAGATAGTGTCAAGTGACGAATTGACGAATGCTAGCATATCGCGAACAAACCCTCTATTGCATTATTAGAGATAATAAAATAGCGGCCACTTTTGATCGCGAAAATCGCTGTTAAATTAGTACTTAGTGACATACCTACAAGTTATCGTTCTACAAGGTATCGTTTTTTGATTCGCTTAGCATTAGCAATTAATACGCTAAACATAAGAATTCACAATTAAGTTAATTAAATCTAATTAGCATTAAGGCATTTATTAGTCGTAGCCAGTCACCTCGTAACTATAACCACCACCGATAGAGAATGCAGGGTGAAGCTCTCTACGCAACGCCAAAGGGTCAAGGCGATCGAAGATATTCTAACTATCGAGTTTACTCTCAATAGCATTGGGCTCTGCTAAATTTAGCCTCCGACGTTGTGTGCGAGAAGTATTTAGTTATTATTATATTATTCAACACCTAGTATTATATACTGTGATTTTATGTTTAATATGTTTTGCCTATGTACTGAAAACTAATTCTCATTTCAACAATAGGGTAATAAATCCGTACTAGTGGTCGCCCAGTGATCGAAATTCGACCATAACTCATTTAATTCTTAAGTTTGAACTTTATTACGGTTCTTTTGTGAAAGTCTCTATAGTCTCTATAGTCTCTATAATCTAAAGGTTTCATCATTTATTATATTTATTATAAAATTAACCTACAGTTTGACCATAGATTTTAATCATAAACAAAGGAGTAAGTATGTTGTGTCATTCAAGCAATAGTGTGTGTAATGTTTATTTAATTATTTTAATTTAATTCGAATTTATTTTATATTAAAAAAAAAATGCTATATACACTTCTTCTCCATATAAACTTTAACTGTGTAAAATTTTCATCATCATTTTTCACGGTTCATCCGTTCACACAATTTTCTTGAAAAGGGGACAAAGTTTTCGCTTCACGTATTAATATATAGATTAGAGTCTGCAGTCGAGATAAAGTAAATTAATTAGTGTGCTCTCCGAACGAGATTAGTTCCACAATACCGCGAAGCCTTCGATGCTAACAAAGGGCGCCGTGTGCACTGGATGTGATGCACATGTAGGCTTATATGGTAATTGATTAATACAGTTATAGACGTTCTATTTTTATATTTAAGGTAGAATTAATATTTTAAGATTTTATATCTACTACTTATCAAGCAAGATGGTGATATGTTGATGAAATGTTGACCGCTTACTAATTTGTTTGCTGAAAAGTGCATGTTATATATTAAAGATCACGTGGTGATCACATCTCGACCACAACGCATTAAATTAACGGGTTATTATTGTTTTATACAAGTTGAACTGTTGTTATATAATTTTTACATACTGGAACGTGAATAAAAAGAACTTCGGTCAACAACATAGAACTCGCACTAAATGAAAAAATATAAATATGTTTATTTAATATAGTGTATGTGTGTGTTTCACTGTGTGGGTAGATTTGAATGCGTGCTTGCATACATTGTGTATTAGTCAGTGTGTTTGTACGTGCAAGTTCGTGTGCGCGTGATATTAATTAATTTATTTATTATTTACCTTTATTGATAACAACAGTCGGTAGCGTGTCCCAAGGTTATGAAATTGTTTGAAGAACTTGTACCTGATACGTTTAATGATGGGTATGACCCGATATAGGAGTTCCTATATCGGGTCATACCTTACATCGGTATGACCCGATATAGAAACTCCTATATCGGGTCGTATAAATGATAAAATTCGTCAATCCTGTAACTTACTTACTTGAAATATTGAAAGCTATAAGAGTAATCGTTAAACAGATACTTTTTGATTACGATAACTTGCGTGTGGTGATGGATTAAGCATACGGAGTGTCACCACCCCGAGTCATCCCGTGGGTGTCGTAAGAGTCGTGGTGTAGTAGGCCAAAACCTCCTTTCTAAAAATGAAACCTACCAAATCTGAGATGACGATTAACTGTTTATTGGTATGATGATATTTTGAGCCACACGCAAATACATAATTTATATTGCCCGTTATTTTATGTATAGTTCTTTTTTAGTTATAGTTTTCTATAGAAGGTTTGAGTTATCATGTAGTTAGTTGTGATTGCCTATAATTGAACGAGCACAAAGCATGATTTTTGTACGGTTAAAAGCAATACCTTTACTCTTAATTTAAAAGTATTACAACTCACACGGTTACGGAGCGGCGTTGGCAAATTATTTCAGCATTTTGTTGCACTATACTGGAATCCTCTTCTAAATGCTGTAGTTCCGTGTCTAGGTATGTGTAGTGGTACAGACCCTTCTATGCTATTGTGCTTTTTGCCCACACCCATCCAGTCTAGCTTGGTGAACAATAATAACAATATTGTAGCGTTTTTATTTAACAAGCCCAAATAAAAGTGTAGCTAAGGAAAGCTCCCTTCGCCGCTGCATTTTTACAATACCAACTGCGTTCAGATATGGTGTAGCATGGGCTTATCTTGGAATGTTAAAGCAGTAACGTGCACACGCGTTCTGCACTCTTTGCACTAAACCAGACGTTTTAGCTAATAGCCTAGGACCATAATTCTGTATAACAGTTTCAGCCGGTAAAAACAGTTCCGTACTACGTCAGAGATATAATGTTCGAACCTAAGCTCTCGTCCATAACTAACCCTAAGTTTCGCGCTTCTAAGCACACGGTCTTTACGCAACCTGTTTATTTGTATTTGAGGGTCTAAGCTACATTTTTTTTTTAACTTCTTTAAACCTAGAACTATAAATTTAGTATTGTTCGAAGTAAGTAACAGAGAATTATTTAAAGCCCAGTTATATATATATTTAGATCTTTATTAATTCTATTCACTGCATTTAGAGTTTCGTTAGGTTTAAAAGATAAATTTATTTAAACACCATCAGCATAAATATGAAATTTGCAATATTGCCCTCACTATGTCAGCACTAAATATAATAAATAAAAGTGGTCCTAAGACTGAACCTTGAAGAACTCCGCGTTTTACCGACTTCACAACAGAACGAGATGATGATCCATCCTCACAATGAAGCTCTACTGAGATGTAATGAAGTATTAAGAGCGATTATTTAAGCAAGAGACAAACAAACGCAACCAACTTAGATAGTAGCAATGACTTATTTAGAGCATCAAAGGCCCTCGAAAAATCCAATAATACCAAAATCTATCCCTGTCCCGTGTCTTGTGCTCCTTAAATATCGTCCATAACATCCAGCAATGCAGTCACCGTTTCCCTATTCTTCCTAAAGCCTGATTGTGTTGTCTGGTAAGATGTTGTTAACCTCCAGATATTTCTTTAACTCTAAGGCCACGACATTTTCTAAAACTTTGGAAAGGTTTGGTAAAATCCTTATAGGATGGAGGTCCCGAGGTTACTCTTTGGTATTGGCCTTAAAATGGCTGGTTTTCCACAAGGAAGGGAACTTGGATGGGATTGGAAGGCATTATTAAACTTATAATATCTAATGTCAGGTCATCAATTCCTTTAGCATTAGATTTCAAACCTTTGAGTATCTTAATTATGTCAGATGTGTTAACAGTACTGAGGACAAATGTACTATTAATGAAGCGATTAAATTCTAAAAATGAAAACTGTGATATGGAAGCAGTTAGGTTACCGGGAATATTAAAGAAATTATCATTGATCTGATCAGCAGTACAAACGTAACATGGAATTTCTGACGATTTTGAGGGTATCAAATTGCTTAATTCTTGCATACTTTTCTGGGATTTTTTATATTATTATTTATGTGTAATTTAAAATAACATTTCTTCACACTTTGAAGTGCCTGTTCTACTAGTTTTTTTAAGTCTTTAATAGGTTAGATGCGCTGTAATGTGACTAGCTCGAGCTCTGTTTAAGGCAGCATCATGAAGCCTCATCATGAGCTTCACGTTATCAGTCAGTCACGGAGCAGGCTACAATTAGGTATCGTTAGAGAAAAGTGTAATGTGAATGTAAGCAGTTTACAAAATTATTTGGTGAATTAGACATGCAGCATATAACATTCCTATAGTAAAAATCGATGAAAAAAGATACCATACCTTGTGTATAGGAACATCCTCATCAACCTGCGAGCGAGCGGATGTTTCGAGGGGGGGAATATAGTCTCTATACCCGGTAGGTGAGGGGGTACTGCGCTGTGCTGGAACACGAAGAGTGTCGTCTTCAAACACGTCGTCGCTCATGCTGTCGTCTGTCGTCATTTGCTGAAATGAGGAAAAGCGAATTTGATTTGATGTCGTATGTTGTCCATAATACAAACTTCCTTCTTAATTAAGGAGCTGTTCCTTTTAACTAAAATCAGCTTGTTTTGAAAAAAATATGGGCCTAGTTTCTGTTTCTCTATTTAAAACGAGGACAACAAATCTTAAATGTAACTAATTTTGTAGACCTTGTTCGGCCATTATAAACACTACTATAGCACTTGCTGTAATCAGATTGTCTAGAATAAATAATTATCTAAATGTTGAACTTATTTCGAGAATTAATATTCTACCCATAAATCTGAAACTATATTCACGACATTATCGCTAATGGATTTACAATTTAAACAAGTCTTGAAATGAGCAAGTTATTTCTGAAAAAATATTTCTTAAAAAGTTTAAGAAACACTGTGAAAACAAAATGAAATAAAGGGAAACTTCAATGATTTCAACAAAAAAAATCAGCTCTGACGAACCAATTCAATAAATAAACCTCTTGTTATCAAAAACTGACAACATTTATACAATAGACCCGACCATCGGACGTGATAACATTTAATAAATAAACGCATTTAAAATAAGAGTTGGACAAAAGTTGCCATGAGAAAAACGTTGTACGTACCTACCTAACTACAAAAAAATTAATTAAATGTGGAAATTATTTGAGTTCAATGTTATTTTATACTAATACAGCAAGTCTGGGGAATTTTGTGTGGATACCTATTTATTTAAACGCTCATCTCTGAGACTAACAATCGGCATGACTGAAGAAGGGAGAAGCATATCATTTCAAAATATATACCTACTTGTAAATTCTAAATATACTCAGAGTTTTTGGGCCTAGTTGAAGTACTACTAATCATCATTATCCTTTAATAGTCCACTGCTGGATATAGGCCTCTCTATATCTACTAATACAGGACACAAATTGTTCAAATGTATTCTTACATTGGCAAAACAAACTTTGTGTTAACATTTAGGTTTTAAGACTAAACAAAAATATTCATTCATTCGTAAAAAAATATATTATCGAAATCTTTTCATTTCAAATCTTTTCTTTACAAAGTTAATTAAATCTTTGTGTAGTTTAGTCATTTAATGTTTTTAAAATATTTAAGTAAATTAAGCCTAATGTACTGCTTAATTATGTGTTTCATAGATAGTATCTCTGTTAGAAATAGTCCGCTGTCAATACCGATATTCACTTAATTTGGAATTTGTGAAGTTGAAACCTGTTGAAAATGAAATCGACTGTACTCGCTTTAGCTACGTTCACAGTTTCGCTTGGATTTCATTCGCTGTAGTGCGCAATTGGACAGATACTTGAAATGGAAAAGCATTCAAACTGAAGCGGTAAAATTGTGATTGCAGGTTTCTTTTTACTTAACTCTTAACTTGGCAAATGTCCACGACTCGCTTAAATGTACCTACCCACATTGTGGGTAAAAATAATAGGGCCTTTAAATTATCTTTTTATAAAAAACCAGACAAGTGTGAGTCGCCTAGCGCACCGAGAGTTCTGTACGAACGTGTATTCAAAGAGTTCCTTAGTATGACATATAAACAACAACAAAAATGGCACAAGTGATTTGAATGACAAACAATATATTATGTGTAGCAGTCAGTTTTGCATGCACAAAAATAAATTTGTAACTGCATTTTTTTAAATGTTATGTTATAACAAATGAATTACTGTAGGATTTTTCTTGAGCCGTGATACCTTTCTTCTCACCAAATTTTATTATTCAAGGTCAATGTGAAATACCGACCGTATAATATTTAAAATTATATTCTACGACTCTTTTTTAAATCTTGTTTCGTCGCTTTACACAAAGCAAAACCTTTCTTGATCAATTCCAGCCAAATATACCAATGAAATAAACTTATATAAACTTAATTAAAGATAACGGAAGACAACTAGCAATTACGAGCAAAATTAAATGGCAATGAGCAGATTTGAATTTGCTTTTATTGCTGTACTACTGCACTCTAAACTCAAACAGCTTCGATTCCTGGGTCGGACCAAATGTTTGCATGATCTGCAAATATTTGTTTCGGAGTTTGGGTGTTTCTAATGTATAAAATATGTTTGTATATAAAAAAAAGGGTTTTTAACTTTTTAAGTATTCTATCTGTCAATCTAAATTTCATGGTACAGGTTCTGCTTAGTTTGAATCTAGATGGCGTAGTGCGTCAGATGTCCGAAAATATTAAATTCATTATACGGAACTCTAACACGATTTTCATTCAAAATCAACTTTCACACATTTTACAACTTCTGTCATGCACCTCGTCACAATGTGCCTGACCAGGATTCGAGTCGAAAATAAGGTTTTGACATGGTGTACGCAATGTTTGTAAGTGCAAACTTACAAACATTGATATTTTATACAAATTACGAATAACATCTATCAATTAATATGCCTCAATGAACATTTTGTTATTGGAACATAATCTTGGTAATCATCAACACGCTAAATAAGAAAATCATTGTCGGTCTTATGATCTTTTCCACGGAAATCCGTGATCCTTACTCCCTAATGAAAACATAGCATTAGGATAGAAACTGAGTTTTCTTATCAGCCTTCCTTAAGGCAGACACAAGGCCAAAATTTTAAAACGAGAACAGTATTCTTCCAAACATGAATAACAGACTTGTTTACCTTCATACTGTTATTACATGTAGTTAGTGAACACGTCGCGTCGATGTATCCGCTTTAACCCTTTATTGCGTATGATAACCTCAAAGCGCCACCTGTCGGCCGTATTTCGACTTTACAGTATGATTTTAGAAATAGTGTTACTTCCATAATTATGTACCTTTTAATAAGATCATTTGTACGTATTTGTAAGTACAGTATTGATTATCTTTTAAATTGGAATAGCTCACATTATAAAATTTAAAAAGTCTTGAAATAAGTAATCTCATAGTAAGTTGTAGGTAATCGAGGTATCTCACATAGCACCAGGGACTTCCTTTCTAGGATATACCTGGTTCCCAGGCTATTAGTTCCCGAGACATGCCACCGACAGGTGGTATCCGAGGGGATTTCCGCACGGAAAAAAAAAAAAGAAAAAAGGTATCTCACACAGTGCAGCTTTTTCAATTGGAGTTTTCATGTAGGTACTTTTTAAAAATCGACTTTGTTGTTGAGGAGGGTCGGTAATGATCTTAGTTAGTGAACTTACGGAGCAATAGCTTTTTATTTCTTTAGTTGTACTGCGTAGTTTGCGCTCTTAGTCGGCTCTTAGGACACTTATGGGATGAATAGGGGGAACCTTGATAGGAATATTTTTATTGGAGACTTTACATTCCTATCATCTTCTTAAAGACTGTAAAATAATTATTATAATTACATCATAAAACTGGCTTCAAAAAAATATTCTAAATCGTCAATTAGAAGTATTTCGAATTGTTAAAATGTGTTAAGTTTTCATAGTAATTCTAACAACAAAACATCGTAAAAACAGCGGTTTCGCACTACGTCCGGCCAGAATCCTATAAGAAATCTGTGAAAATACGATCTGAAGTAGTTGTAGAACTATTTATATGGTAGCTTACACACTTGATCCGAGTTCCGTCATCCGATTTCTTTCCTTTATCCGTGAATCTCCATTCCGGACAAGATTATTGACGGACCAAAGTATTATTATAACTAAAACATTATCTGTATGAACGCACCCAGAATTCTTTACTTGTTTTGTCTCGTTTCTACAGACAATAGCATTGCCAGAAGTTGACGCCGATCAAAAGGACTCATGATCAACGATGTAACAACGCTCCGCGTAAAATGACATATGCTAAAAGGTGACTCTTGAATTGCTTGGAATAAAATCAGAGTGCGTAAATAATATACGAATTCAGTCAGTCAGTCAACCTTGAAACATCATCAACCTAATCATGGATCAGAAATCAGAGGTAATGCGAAAAACAATATCCGAAATTAGTCCGAGATCGGACGTAGTGGGATACCGCTCTAACTCTGAAAGAGTTGATATAGTAGACCAAAACCTCCTTTCTAAAGAGAAGCCTATGTCCAGCAGTGGACTAGTAAATGCTGTTGATAATTGGCAACATATTTATAAAAATTTTTATTAATGTTTTGTAACATATTACATTTTAGGTAAAGTAGTAGGTAAAGCTTTTAGCATATGTACGTGAAGGTGTTGTCTTACCTCAAAGGTAAGGGTACCTCTGTTTATGTTATCTGATGTCCTACAAAGTCCCATTGCGATTGGGATAGAATATCTGAACAACCCTACTAACTTTATGGGTCAAGAGGCGTCGACACACCGAGAGCAAACTTCCTTGTAAAATAAACCGGGCTATTTGATTTATTCCTTTATCTGTCTGTAAATAAAACGTATTTATGTATGTATCTTTATTCAATGGTGTTCTAATTTTGATTAATAAATAGGCTTGTCCCATAAATATATATTTAGAACAATTACAGTAGGAAGAAAGTATTTAATTACTAGCGCAACTATCTACCCTTGAACCAAAAGAGAGCATCTGGAATGTTCAAAATCAAACCAGCAGCATCTTAACACCACTGTTGAATAATTTATAACAACACAATCGTCCTGCTAAATAATATGATTGATAACAGATGCAGCAACCACTTTTTTTCTTCTTCTTCTTCTTGGTTCTAGTTTAGGGTAACTCATTACTAACTTAAAAAATAAGGAACGATGAGTAAGTTTCTTTCCTGTATTAGTATTTTATTAGATTTACTTTAGTTTATTGTGTTGCTCCTGTCTTTTTTTCTGCATATCTGTGGTTATACATGACATTTATTTAAAATTTTATTTTAAATCCGGAGACACGGGAGCATAGCTAGTTCGTCGTAGTCATCGATCTCGATTCAAACATATCGTGTTGTGTGTATATGTAATTTTTATTTTACACATGGCAAGTTGAGAAAACGTAAGAATTCGTTTTGTTAACAACACTAGAACGTTGAGTTATTGCAGTGTAACAATTATTTGAGAAGAATATATTT